CCCCAAAACCCCAAAACCCCAAAACCCCAAAACCCCATATCACCTTGATTTGGTTGGCTTCAAACAACTAAAATAATTTCTATCAATTTTTAAGGACTAACAATAAATATGAAGCTTAAGATACGGTCGGTAAAAAAGAGAGATTTGAAAGCTTTGCAGAAGCAAAGTGAGACAGATGACGCTGAAGCTAGCTCCTACTCACAAGTAGCTAGTTGAACCACCAAACCCAACCTTGAAGATCTCATTATTTGACAGATTTGTAAGGATCAGGTTGATAAAGAACATAAAATGTGCCCAAATGTAGCTTAATTTGGTGCAGTGAGTGCATCCAACCTTGATTCAGCAATAAGAAGAGTGTGAATTGTCCCAATTGCAGAGGAACTATCCACAAAAAGAACTTGAAGAAGCTTCCATTGTTTGAAAAACTCAAAGAATTCGTTCAGGATGTCACTACCTTTCCTCCAGCTCCCAAGGTAACTGGATGTCCGATCCATAATCTCCCAGATGAATATTATTGCAAAGAGTGAGATATCTTGTGATGTTCCAGGTGAGCTCTTCTGAGTGAGAGTCACAAGACACATTCTTTTGTCTCTCTGGAAGACATTTTTAAAGTCAAAAAGGAGTCAATCTTGCAGTTACAAGAGAAACTCAGAGGGCTGGCAAAACAATGTCAGAATTTGTTAGATGTCTCATTAAAAATGTTGGGAGATCTAAGAAGCATCTCTCCAATTTGAAAGTTCAATTCGAAAGATGAGCCAAGGACTGGATCAATCAGTTTGAGGCAAAATTTAATACTCAGTTGGAAGCTGAATCCAATTGTAAGAACTCTATTGAAGAACTTCTCACAGAAGCACAGGCTCAGAATATTGAATTTCAGAACCTTCTTGAAAGAGAAGGTAAATCTAATTTAATTAGAAGTTATAACGAAGTTGCTCATAATGCTAGAGGAATTCTTGCTAAGCAAGATAACCTCAAAGTATCGAAGGTCGTTGGAGGAGAGGACATAGAAAATCATTTCCTCCCTAAATATACCTTACAAGAATGAGCCATTCCTTCTATAACAAATGAGACTCCAGAAGATCAGTACCTCTACTCTCAAGAGTTTGTGGTAGTCAAGGATAAATTTAAACTTGGAGCAAAGATAATACAGGAGAAGAACACTAAGAAGGTCCAAATTTCCATAAGGATATATAAGCCTAACGCTAGAGAGAAGCAATACCAAGTCCTGCTGTATCATCCTAAAAGCGGTAAGCTGATGGATGAGTTCTTTCTGTATGTGGATAAGCAAAAACAGGCTGAGAAGCATATCTTAATTGCAATTGGTCTTGCTTATTTTACAAACTCTGAAGGCTCGGTTTGTCATGAAATCAGAGGAAAGCAAAAATTGTCGCAGGAAATGATAGAAACGAATGTGAAGCATTGCAAGATAAAGTACTCAATCATATCTCTTGGGAAGAGAGATGTCAAGAACATATATCTTCTCTTGAAATGTGGTATTCGCCAAGAAAGGCATTGGATGAATTAAATTGAGTACAATTTCAAAGATCAATCAAATGATTCTCTTCTTATCAAGGGTATCTATAGTAAGAAGGACACCTTCTGCTCTCCGGATGAACACTTCTTGAAAATATGACATAATTGTTAAAGCAATCACTAAGAAAGTAATAAATAGATTAACCGATAAAAGAATGACCCGGTCAGTAGTTTCATGATCCTTCCCATACTTAATAAACAACTCTTGCTCTACTCCTCATATCAGCACACCAAGAATGGCCAAGAAAGAGATTGAATAAATATTATACCTATACTTCTCTAGCTCATTATCAATCACTCTTGCACTTCCGTACTGCTCTATCTTAAGTTGGTTCATCTGCGTGCTCATGTTCTTTATAAACATATTGGCAAGCCTATTCCTTCTATTTCATTAAGCTTCTTCTTCCTTCCTGATCGGATCTCTTCTTGTGTTTGGGCCTGTCCTTGCTTGATTTTGTGTTTTCAGAGTCTCTGGTTACTGTTGTTCCTTTCTTGTTGACGGTGTGGGGTTTTAGTCTATATAGGAGAATTTTGTAGCATGATTTGATTTATATATTACATTTTAATATGTGAATGTTGGTATTTTCTCTGATTGGTATGTCTTACCTGAGATCTTGGGGCATTTCGTCGCAGTACATGAATATGTTCTTACTTGACTATAGGGGTATTAATTAGTTGTCCAGTGATGTAAAAGAACATCACTGATAGTGAGGATTATAGAAAAGATCAGGCTTAGGAATAATAAAGATAAGGAACTCTTGGTCTTGCTATAATTTCATAATTGTTGTCTTTTTTGATAAGAATGAAACTGAAATATTCCTTATTTGCTTAAACAAGATCGAATCTTTTAAATGGACTCTGTTGGTTATTTAAACACATCACAATTTTAGGAAATTTGGAACTCTAAATTGTCAATTTTCATCATTTTAGATACTCAAATTTCCTCGATAAATAAATATAAATATTCGTTATTCCATCTTGCAGGTCAACGAATAGACTTCTTTGGCTACTTACACCAACGAAATTATCTGCAGTATCATATCTTAGAGACAAGTTGATCTGTTTGGCTTCTTCTGAGAAAGAATCATGGTATCACTCTGAAGACCCATGGTCATTTTCTTTTGAGTCTGATTCCATATTGCTCACAATTAATTTTATAAGAGGTCTCAATTTTAGACTCTCTTAGAGGGGTTTTGGGGTTTTGGGGTTTTGGGGTTTTGGGGTTTTGGGG